TATTCCATCACAAAAAATGCTGTGAGTTCATGAGACTGGAATTTCAAGGTTAAGATTTAAGAACTTGTACTTGAGCCTCTCAAAAATACAAAATTATAGTCAGATGATAATAATCTTACAAATGAGAATTTTTTTTTTTTTTTTTAAGAAGAGAAGTCTTTGTTTTGATTTAGCATGGATATTTAGTAGTTAAGACTTGATAGTTTCGAGATTATGAGTTTCACTTTATTGGTTTCATTTATATTGTTTGATTTATTTGTATTATGATTATTTATATTGTACCCAAGTAGTTGAATTTATATTGTGTACTCTTACAATTATTTTATACTATGATAATTAAGAAAATTAAGATATCTTGACATTAAAAATATTAGAATATCCAATCAAAATTACATGATAAATAAGATGTAATATAGGCACTACTTAAATCCCATTTATTATGTGGTTGAGATTAAATGTCTTGATATTTCAATACCAAAACATCTTGATATTCATTTTTATTATTATTATTATTATACTCTATATTAAAAAGGAGATTATACACTAATCAATTATTAGTTCTCTTGTTTTCAGGATGTTAAGATTACCTTGTCAATATACTGCATTTAAAAAAAATAATTTTCTTGAGTGTTTACCTCGTATACAAAACAATAGTACCTTTTCCTCATGGTTATTAATTACTCCATTTGTTTTTTTAAATTAAAATTTTTCTTAAATTATTTTTTAATCTTATAATTAAATAATTTTTTCATACTTTATTCTTATTTTTATCTTGAATTATTTCTATTTTAAAATAATTATTAGTTTTTGACCTTTTTAATCAAGAATTTAAAAATAATATTTATATTTATTTATAAAACTCTTAAAAAAGAAATAAAAGTAAAAAAATTTATAATTGAATAATTAATTAAAGAAAAATAAATAATGATAAAATTAAAATAAAAAATATTTATTTATCTAAAAAATAAAAAATAATAATTAATTTAAAATAATTTAATGTAAAAAGCAACAATTATTTTGAACAATAGTGGTACAGTACATTTCACCGTGATCTTTTTTTTTTTTTTTGATCAGGTAGATGATTAGGAAGTTAGTAGAGTTAGTTTGTTAGCAATTGGAATTTTTTCAAGATAGTAAACGGTCCACCCCCTCATTTGAGGCGCGCAACTATTAGGTTGCAAGTTGGTGGAGTTCACGATGGTGACAGGACTCGAAGCCCTGATCTCCACCTCACCCAAGCCCTAAGCTTAGAGACCAACATTTGGCCTAAGGCCCGGTTGGTTATTTCACCGTGATCTTTCAAATCAAGTTAGAGTAAACAAAACAATCACCATAATACTACTTTCTTGAAATGTAAACAAATTAAGAGTAAAAAAAAAATCACCATAGTACTACTTTCTTGAAATGTAAACAAATTAAGTCATATATATTTCTTTTATAATTAATGAAAATAGTGCTTATTCATTTTATTTTTGAAAATTACAAGAAATATTATTTTAAAATTATGTTATTTTAATAAATACTTATTAAAAAATTAAAATATTTTATTTTTAAAACATAAATTATGATATTTTTTATTTTTTTATTCATAATTTTTTAAAAATAAAACAGATAAACACTAATCTTATAATCAATATCATAGTTATCATATATTATATTAATAATATTAGTTAAATCATGCAAGGCATGACATGTATCCTCCTGGTACACATACACTAGGGAAAACCAACGAGTATGGTTTTCTGGTTGTACTGATAATGACAGTATAATTATTTTTGCCTAAACACTGGCTAGATGTTTGGAAAGATATCAATTAAAATGCCTATAAAAAACCGGATAAAAAGAAAAACTATCAACAAACAAATATTAACTTTTCATTCTAAATTAATTATTATTTTTTTCCTTTAATTATATTATTATTTGTTTATTCTAATTAATCATATAGTCATAATTTTTTTGTTTTTTATTTTTTAAAAATATTATAAATAAATATAAATATTATTTTAAAATTTTTAATTTGAATAAAAAGTCAAAAAACACAATTATAAATTTGTTTTAGAGTATTGAGCTTAACTGTAAGTTTTCTTATATTTTAATATTTTAAAAATATATTAAATATTTAGTATTATAATTAAAATTTTATATATTTTTGTCAATAATTTAAATAATTTAATAGTCATTTTTTTCGAGATCATGAATTTGAGTTCCATAACATGTGATGATGTGATATAATGGATGAGAGATGATTAACTTCTATTATGCAACCAATATTCAAAAAAAATTATATATTTTTAAGTTAATAATAAAAAAGAGGTTAGTGTGCTTGACTCCCAAAAAATTAAAGTTTTAATTTATATTTAAAAATTAAAATTTTAATTTAAAATTTAAAAATTCAGTTAGTTTTTAAATTTAAATAACAATATTTACTAAGATAAATTTTTAATTTTTAATTAAATTTTAATTAAATAAAATGACATAATTTAATATTAAAACTTCAATTTTTTTAAAATTTAGATTGATATGTATTTTTTTCAATAAAAAAAACTAAAGCATTAAAAAATATTCCCAAACAAAGCCATACCAATCAGTCATTCTTAATAAGTGTTTTTTTTTTTTTTTTGGGGGTAGATGGTTATTCAGAGTATACAAAACAACAACCTTATGCTCCATTGGGGCTCCAACATTTGACTTGTGCGTGGGGGAAGACATGTGCTTACACCTAAATATTTGGAAAATTAAATTATTATTATTACAAGCATTTAACGTGTACTATTTATATTTTCCCTTTCCAATGCCGTCCAAGCAAAACATTGCGTCATTTGAAATTTTCAATTTTCGGCGTCTTATTTCTTTATTTACGGTGGAAAACATCCATCCATTTCACAGAAATTACAATGAATTGCCACCCACCTGGGTATTCTTTCCCCTTTTTTTTTTTTTTTTTTTTTTAATTTCCCAAAGCAAATAATTTCTCATTTTAATTTATTTCTCAAATACCCAAAATTTATTTCTCACCTTTCTCAATTTGGACACTTCAAAAGTTCTTGAACTATTTTTCACACACATTGAAATTAATCTCCTCTTTAAATAATTTTAAAGGTGTACATCTTATATTATATTAATATGGTGTATTTAAAAAAAATTAATTTTAAAACTTAAAATTTGAACCTAATATATAAAACAGTACTTATTTATTACTAAATTTAAACCTTAAAGTTTTTATATCTCACTTTTTACTAACCAAAGGCAATGTAAAATTTGTTTAAAAAAAATGAGAATTACACAAGATTGTAAGTAGTATGGTCAGTTGGCAACACATTTATTTCTTATCATTTTATATTAGATTTTTTGAGAACATTAATAAAAAAGCAATTTTCCATAATTTCTTGATTTTATCATATATAATTTGCTTTTGATCAAATTAAAAAGGAATTAATCTTTTAAATACCTTCAAACTAACCTAAATGATAACTTGATAGTTAAATAAAATAACAAACCTAATAGCATTGGATCATGCAGGAGTCAAAGAATTAGATTTTCTTTTAGGATGCGTTTGATTCATTATTTTTACAAAAGAAACCAAACCGAATATTTTGACTTGACTTAAAAATCATAGTACAAAATTTAATATAGATATAAATCATTAGAACCAATTATAACATAAAGTCTATTAGGATATTGTTTTCAACCAAAAATTTTCTTAATTTTTCTAGATATTTTTTTCCAAAAAAAAGTAATGAATCAGAAATAAATATTAAATGCACCCTTAATTAAAATAAGAAGTTCCACTTCTTAATAATTTTTTTTTTTTTTTAAAGTTGATAAGATTTTTACTTCGAACCAAATAGTCCCTTTTAACAGTAAAAACATGCGAAGCTACAAGAGCATGTCCGTTACCGGCAAAAATTTATTTTGAGCCGCTCATCTTATTAAATTTAAAGGTTTTAATTTATCATTTTATATTATAATACTTTTAACTCTTTATTTTACTAGATTTGTAAGTTTTAGTCCATTACCTTATACTATAACATTTTGAACCCCTTACCTATTAAAATGGAAGAAAGTAACATTGACTTTATAGCATTTTATTAGTTCTGTTAGTTGATTGTTAATTCAGTTAACTGATTGTCAATTCTATTGACTAATTATCAGTTGAGTAACTGATAAAAATCTTCTTTCAGTTAATAAAATTAATAAAATTAATTTTATAATATTTCATTAATTCTGTTAACTGACTATTAGTTGATAAAAACTTATTTTCAACTAAAAAAATTAATAATTAGTATAAAATAAGAGTTATTTTTTTTATTTGAATAGGTAAATAACTAAAACTTATAAATTTAACATGATAAAAGGATAACACCTTTAAATTTAATAAGATAAAAAGACTCAAACTGAGTTTTTGCCGGCAAAACATGCAGATCACCCCCTTAACTCACCCACTGGTGGCAAATCACCCCCTCAACCCACTTTACGCGCAGACCACCCCCTCAACTCACCTGCAGTGGCAAATCACCCCCTCTGTTAACGCCCGCACCATCCTACCGTTAGCTTTAACAGTTCGTTCACCCACCCCTCTTTTGTGTCTGATGTGGCATTTTTGTGCTGAGATGGACAAGCCACTTGGACAAATACCCTAAAATTACTTTTATGGTCTTAAAAGTAATCTGATCACGCACTGAGGTTTCTACTTGTTCAAAATACAGAACACGCACCCACACCATCTTCACAGTTGAAATACATGGTGATAAGAGCATTAACCACAGAAGCTCTAACTAGGAACCCAGATTTAACCACCAACGAATGCATCTGCCTCCCAAAATCCACCATCTCCCAAGAACACACACACTCAAAACACTAGCAAAACTATAATTATCATGCCTAAAACCCAAAGAATGCATCTCCTTAAATAAATCAATCCCAATCTTTTCATACCCATTTTTCGCACACCCAGTAATCATTGCATTCCACACTGCCACATCATTTTTCAGACATTCCATCAAACACCTCACAGGCAAACCCAACATCCCCTAACTTCGTACAGAAGGACAACAATGTAGTCCAAGAATACACATCTGGGTTCTCAATCTCCTCAAAAACCCGTTTGACAGAAACCAAGTCCTGCCCTTTCACATACAGAGAGAGAAGAATGTTCGAGACATGGGAGTACGCTTTATATCCAGCCCAGATAGCATAGGCGTGAAGTTTGTTTCCAAAGGCGACATCCCGCAGTTTTGCACAGGCGGTGAGTGTGTTGGAGAGGGTGTACTGGTTTGGCTTAAGGTGGAAGTGAAGTGACTGAATTTCATCGAACAGATAAAGGGCATCTTCCTAGTGGGTCGAGCGAGTTAAATCAACAAGCTGAGAATTAAGCCTGACGAGTTGACAAAATACCCTAAAATCCTCAAAATATCTTGTTTTCATTGACGATTCAGAGCTTGACGAAGAAGCCATGCTCGATGAATTACAGATCTTCAAGAAACAGTGTTCAAATTTTTAAAGGACGAAGAGGGAAGAAGACGATATAAGCTAGCAGACATAAAACCATGTTTTCATTGATGATTCAGAGTTTGCCGAAGAAGCCATGCTCGATGAATTACAAATCTTAAAGAAACAATGTTCAATTTTTGAAAGGGCGAAGAGGGGAAGAAGACGATAGAAGCTAGAAAAAATAAAACCTTGGCAAAAATAAAACCCAGATCCCCAAATCCCCAATTTTATTTCCCTAGAATTCAAGGCCATAAAAGTAATTTTAGGGTATTTGTCCAGGTGGCTTGTCCATCTCAGCACAAAAATGCCACATCAAACACAAAAGAGGGGTGGGTGAACGGACTGTTAAAGCTAACGGAAGGATGGTGCCGGCGTTAATAGAGGGGGTGATTTGCCACTGCTGGTGAGTTGAGGGGCTGGTCTGCGTGTGAAGTGGGTTGAGGGGGTGATTTGCCACCAGTAGATGAGTTAAGGGGGTGATCTGCATGTTTTGCCGTTTTTGCCTCCGTTACCACCCTTATTAAAAAACCAAAACGAAAATTTTAAACAAGGATGAGGGTACAATAGTCTTTTC